TTTTATTCTTTGTGCCTGTGTTCCGTCTTCACTTCCTATTTCTTCTTTTTACAGCAGTCCCTTTAGCATTTCTTGCATTGCTGGTTTGGTGGTAATAAACTTCCTTAGTCCTTTTTTTGTCTGTGAAGCTCCTGATTTCACCCTCAACTTCAATTGATAGCCTTGCTGGGTACAGTATTCTTGGATTCAGACCACTGCTTTGCATGATTCTGTATATTTCATTCCATTTCCTTCTGGCTTTATGTGTTTCTGTTGAGAAACCTGTTGATAGTCTGATGGGAGATCCCTTGTAGGTAACTTTCTGTCTCTCTCTGGCAGCCTTTAGGATGCTTACTTTGTCATTGGTGTTTGCCAATTTAATGATAATGTGTCTTGGTGTCAGTCTTTTTGGGTTCAACTTGTTTGGGACTCTGAGCTTCTTGAACTTGTGTGAGTTTTTTCTTCTTCCCAATATCAAGGAAGTTTTCTGTCATTATTTCTTCAAACAGGTTTTCTAGTCCTTGCTCACTTTCCTCTCCTTCTGGGACCCCTATTATGCAGATGCTATTTCATTTCATGGTGTCCAAAAGTTCCCTTAGGCCAGTGATGGCAAACCTATGACATGCGTGTCAGAGGTGACACACGAACTCATATTTTGGTTGATTTTTCTTTGTTAAATGGCATTTAAATATATAAAATAAATATCAAAAATGTAAGTCATTGTTTTTTCTATGGTTGCAAATATCAAAAATTTTTATATGTGACACGGCACCAGAGTTAAGTTAGGGTTTTTCAAAATGCTGACACAACGAGCTCAAAAGGTTCGCCATCACTGCCTTAGGCTCTCCTCCTGTTTTTAAGTTGTTTTTCCAGTTGCTGCTCTGCTTGGGTATTTTTTCCTACCTTGTTCTAGCTCACTGATGGCAGTCCTCCGCTTCTTCTAGTCTACTGTTGATACTTTCTATTGTGTTCTTTATTGCAGTGATGTCATTTTTTCATTTCTTCTTGGTTCTTCTTCATTTCCTCTTGGTTCTTACACATATTGTTGAATTTGTCTTCCAACCTTTTCAGTGTCCTTATGACCATTGCTCTGAATTCTTTCTCTGACATATTGCTTGCCTCCATTTCGTTTACTTCCTTTTCCCATGATTCCTCCTTTTCTTTCGTATGGGGGCTGTTTCTTTGTCTCCCCATGTTCACTCCTCTCAGGGTATCTGGTTATGCAGCTCTCTTTCTCCTGCATTGACTTAAAGGCACAAAATACAACACGACAAGACACAACACACAGGGCACCATGCACAAATGTATTCGTGATACCAACAACCCCAAAAACAGGTGACCGCCAGAGAAAAGAAAATTAGGAGAGAGAAAAGAATGCAAAAATGATATTGAGAAAAGGAAAAAATGTAAAAGATAAAAGAAAGAAGAAAAAAGAAGGGGGAAAAATATATGTATATGGAGAGAAAACTCAAAAAAACCAACAGCTAATCAAAAAAATGCAAACAACAAACACTCTGAGATGAATGCAAACAACAACTAATCCAAAAAATGCAAACAACAAATACCCAAACAACAAACACCCAGCTGAATCTGAGGAGGCAGAGCTCTCTCTAGGTGATCTCTGATCTTTCTGTCTATGGATTGCCTCACCAGCTGTGTTTATTTCACCAATTCCATGTGGATGTTGTTTGATTCAGCTGTTCCTTCTATCTGCTCTGTGAGAAGGTGCAGGGCTCATCTGTGTACTTGGTGCTGCTTTGTCTCCCCCTAGACAAACTTTTTTTTAAGTGCCCATGGCTGGGGAGGCTAGAGTCTTGGTGTTCATGGGTTTGCAGCTGAGGCAGCTGGTCCCTGGGCGATGTGGTTGTAGGATCCCAGGAGGTATCCGAGATCTCCCCAGTTGAAGGTAAGGCTTGGTATCCAATCACAGCCGCTGTCCCCTTCAAGATGGTGTGGTCTCTGCGGCAGAGATGGCTGCTCCAGGAGAGATTTCAGCAGCAATAGAGGCTGCCCAGCCTGGAGAACCTGGTTCGCCAATCCCCAACAGTCTTGTGGAATATAGCTATCCCTCACTCACAAATACAGACACTCCCTGCATGTCCACGCACTCTCCTTCGCTCTCTCACTCACACATTATCTTGCAATCTGCTGTCCCATAGGCCGCCATCTTGGATCCATCTCGATTCTTAAACTTAGATAGTTTTGGCAAATGTTTACTCTGAATTTAACATATGTAAACTGATTTTTAAAAGTTCATTATGATAATTTCTCTTTTAATTTTTAGAGATTAACTGACCTGGCTGCATTAGTTCGAGGCCATCTTTCTAAAATACACAGAAACATCGTAACTGCCTTAATTACTATTGATGTACATGCAAGAGACATTGTCACCGATCTTGTTCAAGCCCAGGTACCTGTTTCATTTGAGTAAAATAACATTATTTTCTGAAATTAATGTATCTAATATGCGTGTTGTTTTTATCACTTATGTAGGTAGAGGAAGTGGAGTCCTTTGACTGGCAGAGACAACTGCGCTATTATTGGGATATAGACGTAGATAACTGTGTGGCTAGAATGGCGCTCTCTCAATACACTTATGGCTATGAATATTTGGGTGCGTGCCCAAGATTAGTTATTACTCCTCTCACGGTAAGTTACTGATCACTTAGGTTAATGTTGAAACAAGAGTGCTTTATTTTATCAAAAACTAGAGGCCAAATGCACAAAATTCGTGTAAAGGGCTCGGCCCTCGCAGCCGCAGGGGCTGCTTCTGCCTCGGCCCCCGCTGCCTCAGCTTCGTCCGGAAGGTTGTCTGGTCTAATTAGCATATTATACTTTTATTATTATAGATAGCCTGGAAAAGTTTTATCTAACATTAACTCTTGAAAGGATTTGCTCTTGACTACATCTTTGTGAAGCCAAGGTTTGCATTAATTCTGTGCCTGGATCTTTCGATATATTTCAATTGCTACAAAACCTTTCACAGAAAAGAATGGCCTTCCTCCCATAGAAAGAGCAGGACTTATGATTTTGCGGCTAGAATCAGTTCCCTTCAATAACAACAGTTTATCGCTCTACCTAGTGTGGCTCAGTGGATGGAGTGTTGGCCTGGGGACTGAAGGGTCCTGGGTTTGGTTCTGGTCTAGGGCACATGCCCGGGTTGCAGGCTTGATCCCCAGTGTGGGGTGTGGGGGAGCCAGCCAATCAATTATTCTCTCATCATTGATGTTTCTCTCTCTCTTCCTCTCCCTTCCTCTCTGAAATCAATAAAAATATATCAAAATAACAATAATAATAATAACAGTTTACCAATTTCTTCAGGATCGCTGCTACCTGTGCCTCATGGGGGCTTTGCAGCTCGACCTGGGAGGTGCCCCAGCTGGTCCTGCTGGCACTGGGAAAACCGAGACTACCAAAGACCTAGCCAAAGCTCTTGCCATCCAGTGTGTGGTCTTTAACTGTTCCGATGGTTTAGACTACAAGGTACGGTCCTGGCATCTGAACCCTCACGTTAAGTGCTTCATGCAGCTTTCTCTACTTGCAACATGACATAACAAAAGAAGGAGAGAACAGAGTGATGGCAAGCAAGAGAAAATTAGTGGGCTAGGGATGGTTACAGTGGAATACGTAGAGCAAAGGAGAAGTATCACCATAAGGCAGCCTGGGTGGTCCGGGTAGAAATCAAGGCCGGTGGGGGACTTGTCAAATGCTGGTAAAATTATTTGGTTGAAATAGTTGAAGAAAATCTAGCCTCACACAGGGATGTACCCAAAAAAGAAAGGGATATTTTAATTGTTCCAGATAATTGTTGATATTCTTCTTTGAAAACACACCAAAAACTTGATAAGCAACAGTTTAAAAATGTACTCATGTCAGTAAGTAGAAAGAAGAAAGATGGGTACGTACACGATAAAACAGGGAAACCTAAGAACAAGGAATAAGCTTACAGGACGAGAAGAGCTATTCAGAGAATTGTGTATTGAAAATGAAATACATAGGAGGTGAGAATTTATCATTAGATTTTTCCAGTATGGCAGTTGTTGTTTTTGTCAGAGGCCCCCTTTACACTCTTAAAAATTATTGAATTCTCATCAGTTTTTGTTTATATATGTGGATTACATCTGTTGCTATTTATTATGTTAGAAATTAAAACTGACACATTTAAAATATTTACTTTAAAATAATGATAATAAATCTATTACATGTTAGCATAAACATATTATCTGTGAAAAATAACGATTTCCCCAAACAAAAAATTCAGGGAGAATAGTGACATTGTTTTATATTTTTGAAAATTTCTAATGTTTGGCATAATAGACGACAGCCGGATTCTCACATCTACTTCTGCAGTCAGGCTGTTGAGATATGTTATTTTGGTTGAAATAGTTGAAGAAAATCTAGCCTCACACAGGGATGTACCCAAAAAAGAAAGGGATATTTTAATTGTTCCAGATAATTGTTGATATTCTTCTTTGAAAACACACCAAAAACTTGATAAGCAACAGTTTCCTGAAGATTATTTGCAATGTGAAAATTGAAGCCATATCAATGACTTTTTCATAATCTGTAGTCTCATGAGAAAATAAGAGTAAAAAAAAGGCAAATAAGATTTTAAAATGACTATGAAAATACTTCTACCTTGCAGAGCACCCTGAAAGGAACTCTGGGACTTACAGAGTTTCCCAGACAACACTTTGGTAACTGCTTTATTAACATGTTCATTCCTAATTTGGAAAGTCACACCTCTTAAAAGGTCTAAAGCTGGGGTAGGGAACATCCGGCCCACGGGCCATATAAGGCCTTCGAAACCATTGGGTCTGGCCCTCCCAAGGCAGTAGGGGTGAATTAATTGTTTGACTAAATATAGCAGGCTAATTTTTAAGTTGGCAATTTTGAATGGTCTGCAAATGATGTTATAAATATCTAGATGGCCCATTGCAGAAAAAAGGCTCCCCATCCCTGGTCTAAAGGATCGTCCTTGTCAATATTCCAGTCAAACATGTGGCAAGAGGAAGACTTCTCACTTGCCACCCCCACCTTACCCATACCATCGGGAGGGAGGTGGCAGGCACCTCTCCCAGAAGCAGAAACAAGAGAAGGAAAAATCATCCATCAGTCTCCATGCAGAGGTGGCGGGCCATTCGACATGGCTTCCTTGGTGGGCTTTCAGAAAGCATACATGAAGGGAAAGAAAGGAGCTTCCAATATGCCTCCCACCCATTAACATTGAGTCTCCTTTAATTTTTTTTTTGTTTTTTACTTCTATTTTTTATTGAGGTATAATTGACATACAACATTATGATAGTTTCAGGTGTGCAACAGAGTGATTCGATGTATTGCAAAAACGGTGACCAAAGTCAGTGTAGTTAGCATTCATCACCAAACATGGTTACAGAATTTTTTTTCTTGATATGAGAATTTTTAAGATCTACTTTTAAACAATGAGTCTTAAAACTAGAGGAACTTTCATGTCATGATTAATCAGCATGAAAAACAAAATAAAGGCTCTTTTTTTATATGTTAAAAGTAAGTGATTCGAAGCCCTGAGAGCCACCTTGATCAAAAATCATCTTTTTTACCTCCCCGGAGTTCTGTGCTTACGTCAGCAAGTCGTCAGCAGGTGTGATGCATACCACATAAAACCATTCTGATGGAGAAAAGTTTCATTCTCTTTGTCTTCTGTTGGTGCCACAGGCATTTGGTGTCATTGGTGATCTAGGCCGGGCAGTCCTTGTGACCCCTTAGCTAGTTGTGGCCACTTCCCAACTCTGATGACCAGTATTATCGTGAGCTCTGACTTAGATAAACCAACAAACAAAACACCTTCTTGATAAAAACACTCTACATACTAGGAATAGAAGATAACTTCTTCTGTCTGAAAAAAAAAGAGCATGTAAGAAAAACTCACAGCTAACATCTAATTATTGGTGAAAGACTGAATGATTTCCACCTAAAATTAAGAACAAGACAAGAATGCCTTCTCTCCTCTTTTATTCAACATCGTACTAGTGGTCCTAGGCAGGACACTAATCCCAGAAAATGAAATGAAAGGCATCTAGATTGGAAAGGAAGAAGTAAACTTGTCTCTTCTTATAAATAGCATGATCTTGTATTTTAAAAATCCTGAAGAATACACACACACACACAATTAAAACTACTAGTAAACAAATTTCAGCAAGATTGCAGGATACAAGACCAATATACAGAAATCAATTTAATTCCATGTAAAATAGCAACAAACAATCCAAAAAGAATATTAAGAAAACAATTCCATTAAAATAGCATCAAAAGAATGAATTACTTAGAACTATATTTAACAAAAGATCAAACTTATACTCTGAAAACTACAAAGATGTAGGGCCCCTCAGTTATGGGAAAGACATCAGTAAAATATTAATATGTAAAACAGCACCTCCCCAAAGTATGTTACTTAGAATCCTACTACAGCATATGCAGAAAAACACACGAAAAATCTGTGTTCTGCCTCATTTCCCTTCTAGATTTTCACATCACAAAGTAGCATGCTAACTATGTTATCAAGTCCCACAATTAGGAAGGAATCTGTTTAGCTTTATTTAATTCAGCAAATCCTAAATGTTTTGACCATGGATGCCTTTTGGTCACTAACAGAGCTAATATTCTCACTTTTTCTAAAAGTTGAAAGAAATTAAACAGAACCTAAATAAATGGAAACATATCCCACTTTAATGAATTAGAAAACTTCATGTTACTAATATGGCAATTCTCCCCAAATAGATCTACAGATTTAATGCAATCTCTATCAAAATCCCAGCTGGCTTCTTTGCAGAAATGGACAAGCTTATCCTAAAATGTAGTGTATGGAAATTTAGGGGATCCAAAATAGCCAAAGCAACCTTGGAGAGGGAGAAGGCAAAGTTGGTGAACTCACATTTCCCAATTTCAAAACTTTCTACAAAGCTACTGAGCAATCAGGGCAGTGTGGTCACTGGCTGGCAAGAGGATAGATAACGGGATCAATAGAATAGAATTAAGAGTTTGGAAATAAGCCTCTCATAGTAAATTGATTTTTTACAAGAGTGAGAAGATAATTTGATGGTCAGTAGTCTTTTCAACAAATAATGCAAAAAAATGAAGTTGAACCCCTTTCTCACCCTAGATATAAAAACTAACTCAAAATGAATCAAAGACTAAGTGTGTAACAGCTAAAAGAATGAAACTCTTAGAAGACAACATAGGTGTAAATCTCTGTGACCTTGGATCATGCAATGGCTTCTTAGCTATGACACAAGAAATATAACTAAAAGAAAAAATTGGATAGAACAGACATTATCATCAAAATTTAAACCTTTTGTGTTTCAAAGGATAGCATCAAGAATGTGGAAATTCAACCCACAAAATAGGAGAAAATTTTTTACAAATCATGTATCCGATAGGAGGCGTGAATCTAGTACATATAAAGAACTATTACAGCTCCATTATAAAAAGGCAGGTAATCTAATTTCACAGTGGACAAGAAGTCGAATAGACAGTTCTCCAAAGAAGATAGACAAATGACCAGTAAACACAGGAAAAGATTATCAACATCACCGGCCATTGGGGAACAGATCAAATTAATATTACAATGACACGCCTCATCACAACCACTAGGACAGCTTAATCAGAGACAGACAATTACAAGTGTTAGCTGGGACGTGGAGAGACTAGAACCCTCAGACACTGCTGCTGGGGTTGCGAAATGCTGTGGAAAACAGTTCAGTGGTCCCTCAAATGTGAAACAGAGTTACTGTAGTACGTAGCAATTCCAGTCCTTGGTATGATCACTGCCAAGAGAAAGGAGGAAGAGGGAGAGACAGAGAGAAATATCGATGTGAGAGAGACACATCGATTGGTTGCCTCCTGCACACACCACGACCAGGGCCAAGGAACCTGAAATGGAGGTTCGTGCCCTTGATCAGAATCGGACCGGGGACAGTTCAGTCCACGGGCTGAGGCTCTATCCACTGAGCCAAACAGACTAGGGCTCAACATTGAACTTTTGAAGGATTCCCCCTTTGTTACACAAGGTTGAACAGAGTTATTTTGATTTCAGATGATGGGACGCTTCTTCAGCGGTCTGGCCCAGTCAGGGGCCTGGTGCTGCTTTGATGAATTTAACCGAATTGACATTGAAGTTTTGTCAGTGATCGCTCAGCAGCTCATTACCATTCGGAATGCCAAAGCTGCCAAGGTAAGGCTGGGCAACTCCCCCCAAGGCAGCATCTCTAGTTTGTAATTAACCAACAGCCCTTTGCCTCTTAGGCAGGAGAGTGCTAACTTGCGCCTGCCTGTTGCATGTTTGCAGTGTAATGGGTAAGTGCTACAGCGACATGACTTGGCTGGGAGAATTCATTCCTCACGCAGGCAACACAGAAACAGGCGTATGTCAGACACTGTGCTGCCCTTGTGGAACTGTGTTCGTCTTCTCACCCCCAACACACACACACACACACACACACACACACACACACACACCTCCTACTTTCTTCCTCGCTTTTCTTGTTCTTGCCTTGGACATTTACTTCTCTGCCAGGTTTCTCAACACTGCTGCTTCTGGGCTCCACTGCCTTCATAATGGCCCCAAGGCTCAGCCCACTGCTGGTAGAAGGATGCGAGAGGAGTCCTGGGCAATCTAGTGGGGCTCGGCTCCCCAGCATCCACTGGACAGAAGCCAAGAGTGTGGCCCATATGAGCATGTGCCTGGAAATGGGGTTTATGTTGGGAAGCTGACTGCCGTGAAGTGTGGGCCAAGTTCCGTAGTGCTCTGTGTTGACTTTCTGAGACAGGCATGCGATCACCAAAGGGCAGGCTGATGTTCAGACTGGATAAGCCAGAACAGTCTGGCCAGTTCTGTAAGTAGCTGCTACCCCAAGTCCTTAGAGGGTCCCCCTCCACTAATTTGGCCCCTTCGCAGGGAGCCCTTATGTCGTCAGGACTCAGCCGTAGGATTCATGCTGACGTAGCACGGGGGCCTCTGGATGCAGCTGTAGCTCCAAGGGGCCATTCTTACCAGAAGGTGCCCTGCTAAAGAGCTCTTAGATACAGTGGGGCCTTGACTTACGAGTGTCCCGACTAACGAGTTTTTTGAGATACGAGCCGTCTCTCAGCCGATTTTTTTGCTTTGAGTTGCGAGCTAAAATTCGGGTTACGAGCCAGCTTCAGATACCTCACCACTAGTGGGCGCAGTGAACATCACAGTGAACGCCACAACATCAGCCCAGCATCACGTGTCTCACTCGTTCACTTTTTGATTTGACATATGAGTAATTTGAGTTACAAGCTCCATCACAGAACGAATTAAATTCATAAGTCAAGGCCCCACTGTATTTTGATTATCACCTCTGCAAAAAAAAAAAAAAGGAAATTACAGAACAAGTAAAAAGAAAGCAGACATTGGAATTGAATGAGCTGCTAAATTGTACAAATTGTTGTACTTTACACTTATTTTACCTCCACATCAAACCTATATGAAGTACATGGCATTGCCTCAAGGTTACTTACGGGTGAAAAGGAATCAAAGAAATTTAAAAATATCTCTGGGAACAACATAGACCTAAATCCATGTGACCTTAAAGTCAGCATCCCTCCAGGTATGTTCTCCCTGCCCCTCCCCCCACCCTGATCCCCTGAGGAGGCCTGTATTGAATGCAGGGGCCTCCAGATATACCATATCTCATAAGTCATTATCACCTTGCTGAGCAGTGAAGTGAGAGCAAAGTATGGCGGGAAAGGGAGGAAGGACCAAAGAGAATGGAGGGAGAATGGAAGCCTTGCTGACTGGAGAGTAACCATGTGCGGTTACAGAAAGGTAGGAGGACGTCTGAGACTCCCCAGATCTCACCCTCAGTTTTGCCGGTGGCCAGATGAGATCGTTGGAAAGAGATGCATCCCCTGGAATAGGTGGAGAAACTAAAGCACGGAAACTTGCAAGTTTCAAAAACAGAATCAGCAATTTAGTGGCAGCAGGACTGGTCTCCAGTTGTACCATCCAGCATGTTCTGCTCCAGGATATGACACATCTCCCAGCTCCATTCCAGTCTTCCTCTATATTCTTCATGTTCTTAATAGCGCCTTCATCCAGTGACCCAGCTAGACCTGGAATTCATCTTGGATTTTTCCCATTACTGTCAACCCCAGAACTGAAGCCGTCAGTCACCAAGTCCGTTTAATTTTACCTGCTAGATGCCTCTTGTCCCTAGCGATAACCCCATAATTCTGGCTCTCATCCTCCCTCTACTAACAATTCCTTAATGGACCCCCCCCCATATGACCTCTCCACTGCTATCTTTGACCCTATCACTCTGCTCAAAATTCTTCTCTGCTTCCCCCACCCATAGGACAAAATCTAAATTCCTTAGTCTAGTGCAGTGATGATGAACCTTTTGAGCTCGGCGTGTCAGCATTTTGAAAAACCCTAACTTAACTCTGGTGCCATGTCACATATAGAAATTTTTTTATATTTGCAACCATAGTAAAACAAAGACTTATATTTTTGATATTTATTTTATATATTTAAATGCCATTTAACAAAGAAAAAATCAACCAAAAAAATGAGTACGTGTGTCACCTCTGACACGTGTGTCATAGGTTCGCCATCACTGGTCTAATGTGCAAGATCCCTGATGCTCAGGCCCTGGCCTACTAACACTTTCCTCCTAGAAGTCTACCCCTGAGCAGAGTGGATAGCTGGTCATTCCCTGAACGTAGTTTCCTGTTTCTGCGCCCTTTGACTGGAACAGCTGCCCCTGGTTGTCTATGTGAAATGCCTCTCCGCGTTCCTCATTTCCCCAGCAGACTTCCCTGCTGCTCCTCTGGGCTTTGCTCCCTGTGGCTTTACACACTCCTCCCTGTGGCTTTACACACTCCTCCCTGTGGCTTTACACACTCCTCCCTGTGGCTTTACACACTGCTCCCTGTGGCTTTACGCTTTGCTCCCTGTGGCTTTACACACTCCTCCCTGTGGCTTTACACACTGCTCCCTGTGGCTTTACACACTCCTCCCTGTGGCTTTACACACTGCTCCCTGTGGCTTTACACACTCCTACACTGTATGCTCTATTGCACAGCATGGTCACAGTTTCCAGGTTTGACTCAGCAAGTCCAAGAGCTTCTAGAGGCCTCAGGCATGAGTCTCCTTCAGCTCCCCACATCCACGCCTCACCCATTGCCTCACCTGCAACAGATGCTCAGCAGGTGTTTGCTGTTGAATGAAAGTGAAGGGATAATTCCAGTGACACTAACAGCTGGGCTTCAATCACCCAAGGATCTAACATCAGATTAGAATTTCTTAGAGAAAACCAGAAAGTGAGGGTGGAGGTGTTTAGTGGCCATTAAGTCTAAGTTGAATTGAGGAGGCTCAGCAAAAGATGTTGAGGCCTAGAAGATTGCAGGACTGGGTCAAGCAGGAAGAAACTATTGGGCAAGACAGGGGCAGGGAGGCAGAGAGCAGGAAACACTGAGCCCAGAAGAGATTGGTTGGATAGGACAGAACCGGGAGAGAAATGCCCCCTGTTATCCAACAGCAGGATTCATATTTTTTTGCGTGAATGCTCCATTACATACACTTTTTAAAATCCTCACCAGAGGATATTTTTTTTCCAGAGAGATGGAGGGAGGGGGAAAGGGGAGAGAAAGAGAAAAAAAACACATCAACATGAGAGAGACACATAGATTGGTTGCCTCCCTCACGCATCCCCACTGGGGCCTGGCAACCTGCAACTGTGGTATGAGCCCTTGACTGGGAATGGAACCCAAGACCCTTTTTCTGTGGGCCAGTGCTCTAACCACTTAACAAACCAGCCAGGGCTCCATTACACACATTTTGACTCCAGTACTAATCATGTGAAAGAGTTTACAGATGTCTGGAGAAGTGTTAACTTATCCTTTCTCTTTCCTTTAAACAGCTCTCTAGATTCATGTTTGAGGGGCGGGAAATAAAGTTGGTTATGACTTGTGCAGCCTTCATCACAATGAATCCCGGATACGCAGGCAGGACTGAATTGCCAGATAACTTGAAAGCCCTGTTCAGACCTTTTTCAATGATGGTTCCAAATTATGCCTTGATTGCAGAGGTGAGTGTCACGTTATAAACCAGGAAAAATTTAAGCTTATTTCTTTTATTTTCTATTGAAGTAGAAAGTTTTCTTTATGAATGCACCCTGGTAAATGTATCATTGCTTACTTATAAGAGTCGATATGATTATCACTTAGAATGTTTTGTTCTCTCTCTCTCTCTTTCTCTCTGTGTGTGTGTGTGTGTGTGTGTGTGTGTGTGTGTAAATGCTATATCCCTAATGCCTACAATGGTATTTGGAATATGGTAGGTCCTTAAATCGAATGAATCGATGAGTTTAATTAAGCAGTTCATTGGGGTTTATCAGTTCATCTCTAGAAATTAAAATGTCTGGAGTCATTCTAAAAATACTATATTGTTCTCACTTCTTGGGCATCTATAATAATAAAAGCATAATATGCAAATGGACCAAATAGCAGAACGACCATCCAGATGACCTTCCGGATGACCAAGCTATGACACACACTAGCACCAGGCCAGCCAAGGCAGGTGAAATGTGATTGGTCAGGGGGGCCCCGCCATCACCCCATGATTGCCCTGCAGAGGAAGGCCCAGGCCACCCTCTGCAGAGCGACCGATGGAGGGGCTCTGTGTTCGATCACTCCAAAGAGGGAGGCTCAGGCCACCGGCAGCAGGGCTATTGATTATGGGAGTGGAGGGAACTCCACAATCGCCCCACAGAGAGAGGCCCAGGCCAGCCAAGCGATCGCACCCCATGCCTGTTGCCCACAGAGGGAGGCAACCGGTGGTGGGGGTGGGGTGGCAGCGCCACACAGATGGCAAGCAATGGCAGTGGCGGGGCAGGACCAGCTGCCAGCAGCCAGGAGAAGGAAAACCCTGACAGGCCCTGATCACCAGCCAGGCCTAGGGATTCTACCGAGGGGTCCCGGATTGCGAGAGGGTGCAGGCCGGGCTGAGGGACACCCATCCCCCCGACCCCCGCACAAATTTCATGCACCGGGCCTCTACTTATTTTATGTTAGAGTCCAGGGATGTTGAGTTACAGCAATGCTGGTGAAGGGTGGAGAGTGGACATTGGTCTGTAAGTCTGTATCAGCTTAGTAAAAAATAGTCATCATTAATACATTAAATATTTGTATTGTATTTATTCTTTCGGTGTCTATCTAGGAATCTTTCAATTTAAACTGATTTTTGTTTCTTCATACTAGCTAAGAACCAATGTGAATTCTTGGCACTTTTTGCAAAGTGATCATTTATATATAGTAAAGCGCACAGATCGTAGGAGTACAACTCAGAGAACTCTTACACATGGATTCACTGGTGTGACCATCCAGACCAAAATGTGGGACATTTTCAGGACTCCTTGTGCCCCTTGTGCTCAGCACTGCAGTTCATGACAAGGAACTCCACCCCATGTAGAAGTTTCCCAGAAAGCACAGTTTACTCCTGTGGCTAACAATTCTTTTGATAACAGCTCATTTAAAATATTTCTTTATATGAAGTAAAAGTAATTACCTACAAATAGAATAAACCATGCCAAATCCTATCATTAGAAAAATTACAACTTTTATTAGTATAATGCTTACATCATCACAGTTTCCAGGTTTGACTCAGCAAGTCCAGCAGCTCCTAAGAGGGCCCAGGCATGAGTCTCCTTCAGCTCTCTACATCCACGCCTAGCCCACTGCCTCACCTGCAACAGATGCTCCTGAGGTCATGGTGGGGTGGAAGACTGTTAAGGGAGGACATATCTTCACTAGACCCCCTGTGGACAGGGACAATGAATGACTTGCTCATTGTCCAGTGATGGTAGGAAAGAAACCAGTTTTGGAACTCAATCCACCATTTTGTTCACATCTCATGTTTCATCCTATTGATTTTCAGTAATTAATTGAAGACATTTAAAAAACCCAGTCTACTGAGTGCTATTCCTATCGTTATAGATTGAGTGGGTCAGGATCTGTCATCAGTAAATGTTCTTAATTGGCTGCAGTGTGCAGAGCTCTGTGCTCATAGGAAGCTAGACTGAGCAAAACAGGCACCAGTAAGAAATCTCTGCATCATCCTAATTCCAATTCCAAGGCCAGCACCAGTGATTCGGGTAGATTGTGGATTGGAGGAAGGGTCCAACCCCCCTCCACTGTTGTTATGGATTTATTAGCCACGGCTGCAGAACCTTGTCCCAGGCAAGACAGCCTCCTAGGGCAGGGGAGAGGCTGCAGGTCTTGTGAGCTTTCCCTAGACTCCCAGGGAGCCTACACATTCGGATGTGAGAGGTTCAAGTCTTGCTTTTGTACTCAGGTCTTATACCACCATCCAGCCTCCATGATGTGAACATTTGCAAGCTGTGGGCTCTCCACTCTTTGAATCAAATGTCACTAAGGCCACATTTCCATCAATAGAAAGGAAGCAGAATCAGGGCTCAGGTCTCCCCATACAGTGTCCCACCTTCTACCTCCTTGTGGCATAGAAAACCCTTTTCCCCTCAATCGTTTTACATTTCTTGGTTAAATGATGTGACAACTTGGAGAGCTGTGGTGTCTAATGTAGATTTTGAAGACATTGGTACTATGCTGACATATTTTTGTCAATATAATGTAATAACATGATGTAATACTTTTTTTCTAGGTAATTCTATATTCTGAGGGATTTGAATCCAGTAAAATATTAGCAAGAAAAATGACTCAGATGTATAAGCTTTGCAGTGAACAGCTCTCTCAGCAAGATCACTATGACTTCGGCATGAGAGCCGTGAAGTCCGTGCTGGTCATGGCTGGGTAAGAAACCAAGGTGGCCAACAGCGAAACGTCAGAACATGCCATCATGCGCATCATACACAATTCACAAACAGCTCTTAAAGTTGCGCAGGAAGTGATTAATAAGTGTCAGCTGCTGCTGCTGTCTTTATTCTTACCTTAACACTCCCATTCACAGCGAAATGGGCATCTCTGCTCATCCCATGACAGTTCTTACTGTGTGTCTTACGTGGCTGCCCCCAGACCAGACCTGAATCTAGACTGGGCTTCAGAGAAATTTCATTTCCCCTGAACTTGTCACATACACTGGGCTTGAGTGTGCAAAAGCTTTTCCCAACAGAAGATTGATGACTCCACTTAAAAGGCGTACGGTTTGTTATGCATATTCAGCAATTAAGTCAGGCCTGACAAAGCCTGAAGCATTCAGAACACTTCCGTTTTAATCTATCATTCGTCCAGGCTCTTGGTCCAAGACTTCACCTCTGTCCTTACAGTATGGTCCAAGGCGGAGCTGCTTTCTAGTCTCTGAGAAAGCACGAGCCTTTTCTCTTTTCAGGCCCCAACTTCTCCTTTCAGATCTTCTTGAAACTCCTGCCTCTGGAATCCTATCTCCTCACTTGTCCTTCCTCTCAGGCCAAGACTTGCTAGTCTGGATTCTGTACCTCCAGGGCCCTTCAGCCTGGTTCCTGTATCCTTGGGTTTTCCACAAATATCTCTGCCCTTCCATAAACTTTGTCCTTTCTTTGAAAGAGTTTCAAAGAAAGAACAGAGAGTATGGAAAGATATTTGTGTTTCTCCTTTACACAGGATTGACACTTAAGGAGACTATTAAGACTACTTAGAGAAAGACTGCTAAGACCTCACCTGCAGCACAGTGAGCAAGACAGAAGAGTGAGCAATTATCTAGGATACGGTGTAGTGAGGAGAACCATAGGGCTGTGCCCAAGGTTTGCCATGAGGGGTGGAGGAACCTTCTAGAGGAGAGAGTAATTGGGTTGGGTTTCGAAGGGTAATTAAGAGCCAGCAAAGGAGCCAAGCAGGGTGTTCTGGGCTGAGGTAACAGAAAGTCACAGGATGTTAATCATCATGATACATCCAGGGGTGCATGCAGATTCAGGGAGGATTGCTGTGGGAGTTTGAGAAAAAATGTCCTTGTCATCGTCCTCAAGGCTGTGTAGCCTGTGCCTGACTCCTGCGCATGCTCTGATGGAGCTGGACATTCGGGATGAAGGGGACACGCTCCTCCCCTCTCAGCAGGCACCTGCAGTGGGGCCCCCCCTCTCCCCCCACAGCCCATGGGTTTGGAAAATCACATTCAATACTATGTTCTCACAAATGTCATCTGAATTATCCTTTTACATTTAGGTCTTTAAAAAGAGAGAACCCAGATCTAAATGAAGATGTGGTGTTGATAAGAGCACTGCGAGACTCCAACTTGCCCAAATTCTTAACAGATGACGCTATTCTGTTCAGGTAAGTTTCTAGATGTTACAGAATAAAGCATGGCTGCTGTGTAGAGGTCATGGATAGTCTCATCTGCAAGCATGTCTGTCTCTAACAGGGTAATAACTCATCGTTTCTAGAGATACTTATTGTCGTTTTAAAAAACACTAGTTTAAAATAAAGGCACTAGCCCTAGGCAGTTTGGCTCAGTGGATAGAGTGTTGGCCTGCAGACTGTAGGGTCCTCCTGGGTTTGATTCTGGTCAAGGGCATGTACCCCAGTTGCAGGCTCTGGCGCTGGTCAGGACACATGTGGGAGGCAACCAATTGATGTGTCTCTCTCACATCGATGTTTCTCTGTCTCTCCAAAAATCAATGGAAAAAGACCCTCGGGTGAGGGTTAACCCAAATAAATAAATAAATAATAAAATAAAATAAAGGCACTAAAATTTTATTAGCCATCCAGTTTATTTGTGTTTTTTCCCAAAATATTGATCATCAGGCTGTGTGCTATATAAATTAGTATTGGTTATGAGTTCCTGACCTAAGAAATTTCCCATCGCCCCCTCCAAGAAATCAGATTTGAGCTTAACGTAAATGTGATTGCTTTTATCTATGTATTTCTACTTCTATTAAGTAGTTTTATGTTTATCTAAGACATACATGTAGTAGTTTTCAAAATAAAATAATGTCATAAATTAGTCTCATGAAAAGCAGTGGTTCCCTGCCCTTCACCAACTTACCAAAGGCAAATCATTTTCCCATTGATTGATCGATTCATTCATTCATTTTACTGTTTCCCTTCATATTTTAGTACCATGTTTTTTACATTTCTTGATTTTTCAGTTTTAGATATTACCCATAATGCACATCCAGCTCTTCCCCTAGACCCGCCTTCTGCGTGTAGTCATATTGCAATATAACCTAAACAAAATATCTAGGATTTCAGTGCTTTATCATAGCAATGTAAACATTATCCACTGCTGAGCTATAGTTTCATTATTAAATTATCTAGCTTTTTATTTTCCCTTCATTTATTACCATCATTCTTATTTTTCATTCCTTTACTTATTTCCTATAAACTTATCATTAATTTGTCTCCAAATTTTGCCAGAGTGTAACTACCCTAAAAGCAAACAAATAAACAATTGAAATATTCTATTGAATTTGCCTCTCTGGAGCCCTCTGTCCTGCTCTAATCTGGGCTGCTTACCCATGACCCCTGGGGCACATCTCTTATCAGGGATGTCCGTTGATGACTGTGCTGGGATTTCCTTTGCCCCTGTCTTCTATCAGTGCCCCGGTTTCTCAGAACATGTCTCCTCCTTTTGGTAGGACACAATGATGAAAATGACTCTGCATTTATCTTTGCACACTTATGATATTTCTATAATTGAGATTCCAGGAAGTAAGTTTGCTAGGTCATAGGGTAAGAGGCATTTTTAATTTAGTTAGTCTATCAAGATGCCTCCAAAGACATTTTACATTTATATAAATGGTTTTATGAAAATGCCCATTTCCCTAAAGTATTTTAATGAGAGACCAAAAGTCTTTATGCATGCATTTCTTAAATTATTGGTATCATTTCTTAAGCTCATGAGTCATATATATTTATTATTCTAAGAACATTTTTTCTATTTTACTCTTTTACTTATTGATTTTGGGGGAGTCATAAATTCTATCTGGTATAAGAATTGGAAATATTTCTCCATCATTCATTCTTTAAGTTTGTATATAAAACCTTTTATCTCGCAGAAGATTTTTTTTACTTATTTTTTCCACTTTATCACCATTTTTTATAGATTTCCTATCTTTCTTAGAAAGACTTTCTTACCATAGTGGTACAAAATTCATCTCTTATATTTTTATCTAGTACTGTTGTGGTCATTTTATATTAAGGTCTTTACTGTATCTCAAATGCATTTGTGTATATAGTGTAAACTAGGTTTTAGCTTCTTTTTTACCCATAGAAACATACCACATTAACTGTTTCCCACAGAAAGTCAATTTTTCCTTTACTCCCTTTTTTACCTAGTACTAGTTTTCTATTTTTATTTCCATATTATTTTTCTGAGTATACATATACAGTTATAAGTATATATGTGTGCATCTTGGAAAAGTTAAGTTAGAAATATGATATTATAAATAATGCCCTAACTGGTTTGGCTCAGTGTATAGAGCATCAGGCTGTGGACTGAAAGGTCCCAGGTTCAATTCCAGTCAAGGGCATGTACCTTGGTTGCAGGCACATCCCCAGTAGGGGGTGTGCAGGAGGCAGCTGATCGATGTTTCTCTCTCATCGATGTTTCTAATTCTCTATCCTTCTCCCTCCTCTCTGTAAAAAATCAATAAAATATATTTTTTTAAAAAAAGAAAAGAAATAAACTTCCTTGACACTACACCATCTACTGTGGACAATACAGAAACAAGAGATATTGCTTACCTCCAAAGGCTCCCAATATACTTAAGAACATTGGTCTACAGTACAAGAAATAAGCAAAATCAAGCACAATATCAGAGAAATTATAGATTCTGGTATACAACTTAGGATATACTAATACTGTATGTGTTTAGAAGAAAAGACCAGTGAGAAAAATAAGATTCATTTTAATGTTTAATCAGTTATTTGTAACAAATATGGGGAAAACTCAATGACCAGTGGTTCCTAATTGATTTTATTTTTTAAATTTCAGTGGAATCATATCTGACCTTTTCCCTGGAGTCCAAATTCCAGAACATGATTATGGTATATTGCAGTCAACAATTATAGATGTCATGAATGGGCAAAATCTCCAACCTGAGACATGTATGGTTAAAAAGGTGATACAGTTCTATGAAACTATGCTGGTAAGGCATGGTGTGATGTTAGTTGGGCCGACCGGAGGTGGCAAAACCACCGTTTATCGAATACTTGCAGAAACTTTAGGGAATTTGAGAAAAATTGGTGCAGACAATCCCTTTTACCAACCAGTTAAAACATATGTTCTTAATCCTAAATCAATTACAATGGGTGAGTTATATGGCGAAGTAAATACTGTAACCTTGGAGTGGAAAGATGGTTTGATGGCACTGAGTGTCCGAGCAGCTGTGCAAGACACTTCAGAAGACCATAAGTGGATCATCAGTGATGGGCCGGTGGATGCTCTTTGGATTGAAAACATGAATACAGTGTTGGATGATAACAAGATGCTTTGCCTGGCTAACAGCGAGAGGATTAAACTCACACCGCAAGTCCACATGCTTTTTGAGGTAAATATGTTATCGAGAAGTTGGGGTATTCCTTTCCCCATTGTGTGCTGGGGGCAGAGTCCTCACAATATCTCCAGAAAAAAAGAATTTTCTGAGACTCGTGCAAGAGAATTACATCCTTGGGTTTCCAAAGTCCCATTTCCCTAAATCCAGTTATAGAAGAAGTGTGGAAGCAAAGCCAGCATCCAGAGTTTCCATTCCATGTTGCAGCCGGGTCCAGTTCATCATCAGGCGAGTGACAGTCCATTAGTCCCTTGTGTGTGTGTGCGGGGGGCCAGGTGGGCGAATGCAGGGGTCCCAAGAGAGCACGCCCCCTGCAACAAGATCCCAAGGGCACAAGAACAACAAGAAAGGCACAGTCCTTTGTTTAGGGAACTAAATATCCCAAATTTCGCACCCTTGAAGTGGCCACGCCCATCCTGACCAATGACCTGTTCCCAGGTGTGACTGACAGTGAGCACCTTCACTAGCCCGCCCCCCCTCCCCCAACTTTACTGGGCATGCATCTATCCTTTCTCTGTTGGGCCTCTGGGAGTGTAAATTTGTAGCTTCCTGATGAAGCTGCCCAAATGGCATGCCTATAATCTTTGGCCTTCCTTTTGCTCCTTTCCTGTTATTAATAACTAGGTTAATTACAACAGTATCAAGTATATATGCCATGCTGTGGAGTGAAGCAATCATTTGTTAGATTGGCATACCACTATACTTATTTTCTCAGGCTGATGTATCATTTACTATCTGTAAGGCCCAGCATGGTGTTTTGTTTATGTACCAAATACTTATTACAGTGTCTTTTTGTAATGCATTGTCCATCCTGACGGCCAAAGTCTCTCAAACATTCCTGTCTCTCTATAAACAAGAAGTACAATAAATTCTGGCTTCACCAGAACTTGTTTCTTTTTCTTTGGAAGTATATCATATATATAGATGAATTCGCATGATTTGAAAGGTACTTAAAGTGAATAAATTACCCCAGCGAGGTATGAATATTTGATGGAGGGTTTGAAAGAGAAATGTGGACCAATTACAGTGACAAAATATTATGGAAGATGATAGCCCTCGTGTATTCATTCATCAAACATTGATTGAATGCCTACTACATGCTAGGTGTTAGACTAGGTGTTGGTACAAGAATGAAACAAGGAAAAAGAGAAAAGAGAAGGAATTTGACAGTATCCTCTTATAATTATGGGGTTTTTCCACCTTATCCTTCACTTAACATTTCTTCCCTATATCTGATTACTTATAGCTCTCCCTCTGTTTTCCATCTAAAGCTTTTCAGCATTAAACTTTGAATTTATGATTCATTAACATTGAAGGTGCAGTAATAAGGAAATATCGTATTAGCTGTTTCCTGTTCAACTTTCTTGAATTTTAGGTGCAAGACCTAAGGGTTGCCTCTCCTGCTACAGTCAGTCGATGTGGGATGGTGTTTGTGGATCCTGAGGAACTGAGATGGATGCCTTATGTTAAAACCTGGATGATGGGTATTTCTAAAAAAGTGAGTGCAACCAGATACTCCCCAGTGTCTCCGTCTGGGAGGGCTCACACTTCCCTTGAGTGTGACCCACAGCTGGTTGAATTAGCCATTGAATTTTCAGCTACGTGGGCATTTGCACTGCATCCCCATGTTCAAGGCTCAACTGTATATATAAATCAAACCATCATGCTGTATGCCTTCAATTAATACAGTGATGTATGTCAGTATTTTCAATAAAACTGGAAAAAAAAATAAAACCAAAAAATAGTTCCTATAAACATCCATGCTCAGGTTTTTGTGTGGACTTAAGTTTTCAACTCATTTAGGTAAAGACATAGGAGCGTGATCGCTGGGTCATATGGTTAATCTAGGTTTGGCTTTGTGAAAATCCACCAGGTTGTCTCCCCCAGTGGCTGTGCCAATTTTCATCCCCCCACCAATGAATGAGCGTTCCTACTGCTCCACATCCTCACCAGGGCATGGGGGTATTGGTGTTTTAGTAGATATTTTTTAATGTTTTCTCTTATGGTTCCTCTTTTTCATATTCTTAATTGTGGGAGATATCAATATAGAAGACTGCATGAAATAGAGTGATCATAAAATAAGCACTTGTGTACCCATTACTAGAGCAACATGTAAGACATTATCAGCTACCCAAAATCTTCCCAGGTGTCCTGCGTCATAGGAGGCTTTTAAATTTTGTATTCATTTTATATCTTATATTTATACCCATTAGTCTAATAGTCACAAAATGCATTATAGGTCAGTGGGGAAAAAACAAGACATATGTACTACTATTTGTAATACTTTAAACAGTAAAATAAAATTTAAAAAAAAAGAGATGTGAACCAACCCATTTCTAAACTTAATTACATATTTCATCTTGTCGTGCTAAAATATTATTTGTTTGTTTTATTTTCAGCTGAATGAGGAAACCCAAGAATTTTTATTGAGCCTTTTCCGTTATGTTGATGATGGTTTAAATTTTATCAATAAAAAATGCTGCCAAGCGATCCCGCAAGTAAACATTAGCAAAGTGACTACACTCTGTTGCTTATTGGAGTCGTTGATATTTGAGAAAGATGGACTTAATCTCTCAATGGTATGGAAGGTTTTATTACTTCAGTAAAGCCAGAAAATGCGATAATTGTATAGCTCCTTTGCAAATAAATGACTCCAAATTTTCTGTAATATGATCAATTTTCAAGTTAACTTCTCAGGGGACTAATGACTATGCGTAGATTAATAGAAGCTAAAAGTTGGAAGGAGTGTTAGAGAGCCTATGGTTCACTCTTATACTCAGTTCTTAAATTCCCTTACAGTCTACAACATACTTCTAATATGTGTCTGTCAGCATCTGCTTAAATACCGTCATGCAGGCGTAAACAGAGTTATAATGATCAGTTGAAAAACAACCTTGAGATTTTTTTTTTTTGGACACTCCTTGCCATTCACTTTCTCATCAGAGTGTTTAACTTTGTACTACTATAAAACATCACTTTGTGAGCCATTAAATTAAATATAGGAAACATATGCTGTGCCCTTTTTATTGTTTTTCTTTATTGATTAAGGTATTACAGATGTGTCCTTATCCCCCCTTTACCCCTGTGGTGTCTGTGTCCATTGGTTAGGCTTATATGCATGCATCCAAGTCCTTTGGTTGATCTCTTTCTTAAATGTATGAGTACACACACACACACACACACATAACCCACAACAGTCTTTTGATTTTGCAGTGTAGGATTCTTTTTATGTTAACGTAAAATATTAAAAGTCTTTCTCTTTGTTCTTTCAGGAACAAACAAAACTGAACACAATGCTATGTCAGACTTTTATATTCTGTTATTTATGGTCTTTGGGTGGAAATCTAACGGAAAACTACATGGATTCTTTTGATACATTTATTAGAACACAGTTTGATGACAATCCTGATGCCAGGGTAAGAGCCAAATAAATTTAATTTTAACATATTCGTTCTAAATCATTAAAACTGAACTTCAAGACTAAAACCTTAAGAGCCTTAGTTCTACTGCAAATATAAATTCTTCACTGAAAAAAATTTCTAAAATCATTCACTTTTCTTAACCATGGATAACATTTATTGTATTAAATTTTTTAGGAGTCCTCTCCTGGCCATATGAAGAAATTAATGTATAAAACTATAAAAAATCCATACTATAAATGAATATTGAATTCCAGTTAGTAAACTTATTCTTCAGTGTTATGGTGTAGCTGTTCTGAACCTACTTTCTGTACATTCTAAGATTGAGCAAATGAATAAATGTGCTGAGGATAATGGAAACAGGTTTCTCATTGTTGGAGAAGGGATTTGCAGATATGGAATGCACACTGTGTTATTATATTGCAATCAGAGATATTTGTGCTCATGGATTCAAATATATGAATATATATGTATATATGTGTATATATATACACATATGCATATATATACATATACATATATATACACATATATATGTATATATACTATGAAATTTATGCATGTGCAATATATATATATATTTCATAGTATATATGTATATATACTATGAAATTTATGCATGTGCAATATATATATATATTGCACATGCATAAATTTCATAGTTCTGCATGCTGAGAGGAACTAGAAGCAATGACACCTCCATGGCAGTGAGCATACCCAGATCTAATTCCTAAATACTGTTCTCCACAAAAGAGAGCTGAGGCTCCTACGTGAAAACAATAGCTTATTCCAGGACTGGGGCAGGGAAAGTGCAAGTGAGACCAGAACATCCTCTTATTCAGTCAGATACTGAAGAAGTGCTCCAGGAACAGCAAGACATGGCAAAAGAACCCAGGAGCCAGTTTGGAAGGGTTCCCACTGGTCACATCTGGGCAGATTTCAGCATCAAAATAAACAATGATAGCCTTGAAAGACAAAAGATATTATGTTATCCATCAAAAGCTATTTTTCCTTAAAAATAGAATAGAAAATAGAGTGAATTGCAGATAATAGGTGTAAATATCACACATACTTGCGCACACACACATATACTAGTATGTATGTACTAGGTCACCTTGTCAAATGGATTTCTTACTGAGTCACTGTCAAATCTTGAAACACCACTGCTCTGTACAGCTACCAGAATGAACCTTCTGAAATGCAGTTGAATCCTGTCACCTACCTACTTAGAATCCATTACTGAACTCTTGCTCCAAACTCTAAAAAGTGAGGCTTTTCATAACCTGGCCCCTGTCCGTGTTCCCCAACTCATGTCTCACTGTGTGCAGTGCTCTCATCGTTCCCATATGCGTAGCACTTTCCATGGCTTCGGCCTCCTGACCTGTTTTCTAAACCTGACTCCTGACCCCAGACGCCTTCCTTCCCCACTCCCACCCCCACCCCCCACCCCCATTCCTTCTCTGCCCATCTGACTCTTGCTTGTCCTTCAAGTCGGAGCTGTGCCATTCCCACCTCTTAGAAACCTTCTTAAATCTTCAACCACCCTGCAAATAGAAATGAGCCATCCGTCCTCTGTGGACATACAAAAGTCCATTAGAACCCCCTTTTTCTCTGTGGGTAATAACTAATGTCCTTGTGTCCCCCATGTGAATTTCAGGGTCACTGAAGGCAGAGTCTGGGTCTCGTTCAGCACTTGACCCCAGCACCAAGCACAGTATTTGTCATAAGTAAACCCCTGAATGTTGAATTGAATTGAAAATGCTTTACCATTCTAAGATGGGGTTTTAATACAATCAGCATGTCAGATGTTTTTATGCATTGTGTTGCATGACTGTGTTTAAAGAATTAAACTCTGATAGTGAAACAACTACTTCTCTACTAAGAAAAAAGAAATCCAAATCCATTCCATTCCATGATTGCCTTTGTTTATGCATGCACATTTCCTATCGCCAATGGCTCTTAATTTGATACTTTAGCTTCCGAGTTCTGGCGATCTGTGGAGCATTTACATGGACTTCGATACCAAACGGCTGGACCCCTGGGAACGAATCATACCCTCCTTCAAGTACAGCCGAGATGTCCCATTTTTTGAAATGCTTGTGCCCACAGTTGACACAGTGCGCTTCGGGTATCTAATGGAAAAACTACTGGCGGTCAGGCACTCGGTATTATTTACTGGGACAACTGGAGTTGGCAAGGTAGGAAACCTTCCGCACACAAGGTCTCCCCCCAAAATGAGGGTGTGGTGGACCTAGAGTTCTAAGCCCCATACATAACACATTATTTCTCAAGGAAAATTGCTGTGATTACTTTTTCAGAAAGAATGTCACTGTGCTGGCTCTGTACTGACCTCGGGAATTACTCTAGTTGGCCAGTGTCTGAATAAATTCCTAATGTCAATACTGTATAGACCAGAGGATCCTGGGGACCAGTGTTTGGTGTTTGGGAGCTTTTATGTTGCATCCCTTGGAATTTCTGGGGCTGCCACTGCAGAGACGAGGGTGGGAACTGGCCAAGCACTTTGTGTCCCCAAATAGACTATTGATGAAGGCCAGTCTACTTCCTCCTGCCCGGTTCCTTCTACCTCACATAGCAACAACGTTTAGAAAAAGTAGAGTGTATAGGCGAGAATGCTGATTGATTGGGTGTCCACGTAAACAGAGATTCACTGTTTCCTGATAAATTATTTCTGAAAGAAGTTTGGGTCCTGTGGTTCTTGCTTTTGAATTGACTTGGATAGCAACCAAGATGTATTTTGGTTTGAAACTAAACTAAAAGCTTTTTGCTGAGATAGAGCTGATTAGAACATTTCTTGGGCTCTAGGAGATACAATTCCATGGAATCTCCAGGAAAAGAAAGACACGTTTCAATCTGGTTTTACCCTCTCTCCTTGTATCCTATTCCTTACTCATCGTAATGAATTACTACCGATAAAGACAATTGAAAGTTATTATATTGAATGTGACATCATTAACGTTTGTTTGAATTTAAAGTCTGTTATTGCAAAAGGATTGCTAAATAGAATTCAAGAATCAGCTGGCTATGTTCCTGTTTATCTAAATTTTTCTGCTCAAACTTCATCTGCAAGAACACAAGAGATCATTGAATCAAAACTGGAAAGGAAAAGAAAAAATATTCTAGGTAAGAATTATCATTTTCATTTGTCTCACGCAAATTAAGTTAATAAGTAACAAAAACAGGGCATGTAATAAAATTACAATTGGATATTTTCTTCGCTTAATTTAATTGTTAATATGATTTTGTTAATGGCATTCTTTCCTGTGCTAACATATCTAGATATCTTACTGTTAACAAGCATGATAGTTTACTTCTATCATCATCTTCAACTCACATCTTCAGTCTCTGCCTCTCCCTGGCTCTTCCCCTCTCTACTCATGCTCTGCTTTTAAACCTGCACTAATGCCCCTTTATTTTTTTTTATTCGTGTGTGTATTATTTATTTATTTAATAACTAGAGTCCTGGAGCATGAAATTCGTGCACCTGGGGATGGGGGACTGTCCCTCAACCCAGCCTGCATCCTCTCCAATCTGGGACCCCTCAGGGGATGTCCGACTGCCCTATGGGATCAGGCCTAAACCAGCAATCGGACATCCCTCTCGCAATCTATGTCTTTGGATCTATATTTGTTCATCAATGTATGTTGCTCATTAGATTCCACATTTGAGTGAGATTATGTGGTACTTATCTTTCTCTGACTGGCTTATTTTGCTTAGCATAATGCTCTTCAGGTCCATCCATGCTGTTGCAAATGGTAAGAGTTCCTTTCTTTTTACAGCAGTTT